AGCAGCACCAGCAGCGGAACCACCTCCAGGACAGACAGCTGGAGTCTCAGCACCAACACCTCCAGCAGCTCCAGCTCCAGTAGGACCCGCAGGTCCAGCAGCTCCGGGACCGGCGGCACCAGCACCCTCGACGGTCGAAGAAGCTCCAGCTCCGGCAGTACGCCTCCAGCGGCGAGCAAACCACTCGCGCAGCTCCTGTGGAGAGAGAGGCTCCCGCCGAGACGTAGCACCAGGAGAAACCCCAGGCTCAGCAGCCCCGGACGCAGCACCCCCAGGCTCAGCAGCTCCAGACGTAGCACCCCCAGGCTCAGCAGCTCCAGACTCAGCACCCCCAGACTCAGCACCCCCTAGCTCAGCAGCTCCAGGCACAGCACCCCCCGGCTCAGCACCCCCAGGCCCAGCACCCTCCGCAGTAGCACCCCCAGGCTCGGCACCCCCGCGCACAGCACCCCCAGAGTCAGCACCCCCAGGCTCAGCACCCCCAGGCTCAGCACCCGCAGCAGCACCAGAGTCACCATTAACCTCGACCGGGTCAACTGCGTCTACCTGGGACACACCTGAGGGGGCAGGAACCTGAGGGGGGAGGGGGTCTACCGGGGGGGGAACCGGCACAAGGAAGTCCGGTGGCGGGGGAAGGGAAGGAGTGCGGTAGGGGAAGAGGCGGTAGAAGGGGACTGACTCGTCGAACGTGACGTCCTGGGAGGACAGAACACGACGAGAGGAGGGGTGGTAGAACTGCCACCCTGGAGCGTCAGGGGGGAAGCCAAGGAAGACACAGGGAGCAACGCGAGGGGACAGCTTGTCCGCAGACAAGTCACGGACAAACGCCCGAGATCCCCAGACACGGAACGCAGACGCATCGCCAACCTTCCCCGTCCACAGTAAGACTGGGGACATCGCAGGCCGAGAGACCCTGGGGTGAAGGTTGAGCTGATGCGCCGCGTACCGAACCGCAAACGGCCACAGAAAATGGGGGGCAGCCGCATGCATCATAGACGTACGAGCGACATCCATGACCATGCCAATGCGGCGCTCAGCAATCCCATTTTGCTGTGGAGAGTCCGGAAGCGTGAAGGTCTGGCGGATCCCCCGTGCACGACAGTAGTCTCGGAGAAGGCGAGAGGAGAACTCCCCGCCTCTGTCCGAGTGCAGACGCAGAACAGGAAAGTCCGAGCCGAAGCTCCTCCTGAGCTGGAGACGAGCCTCGCGGATCCAGTCGATCAGCACCTCAGTGACAGCACCCTTGCTGCGCAGGGGGAGGACTGTGGTGTAACGCGAGTAGTCGTCAACCACCAACAGGAATTAGCGCTCGTGACCCTGCCCACGGACAGGGGCTAGGCCCCACACGTCCATGTGAAGTGTCTGCAGAGGAGCCTCTGTCGGGGGGAACTGGGAGGAGTGAGGAGCAGCCCGGAGGCGCCCCTCGATACAGGGGACACAGGAAGGTCCTGGCCCCGAAGGAAGGGGAGGGAGAGACTGGGGAAGACCAGAGACAAGGACACGGGAAGCCATGCTCCGAAGACGGGGCAAGGAGGGGTGGCCCAGACGGTGGTGCCACAGGAGGGTCTCGTGAGGCAGGAGGCGACACGAACTGGGGGCATACTCAGGGCCAGACCGGGACGCAGCAGCAAACACCTGACCTGACGCAGCTACCTGACCAGACGCAGGGACAGGAGGAGACGTAGTGGTCAGGGTGTAGAGGCTCGACCCCGGCCGACGCGAGAACGTGGCCAGGTGCCGGCCTGTGCGTGCGTCCGTGCTGTGGGTCACCCGCTGACTCGCAGGAGTGAACTGGTGAATCCCCACATCCTGTAGGTCCGCACCACTCACCAAGTTCGTCGAGAACGAGGGAAGGTACAGACCAGACAGGGTGCCCGAGGGGGCAGCCGGACACGGGAGGACAGTGGAAAAGTGAGAGAGGACAGGACCCCCAGAGGGGTCAGCCAGGGAGACTGCAACCGGCCGACTAAGCGGCGTGAGGGTGGTGCGGTCTCGAAAGAAGGAGCGAGAAGCCCCGGAGTCAAGTGTGAAAGTGAGGGAGGACGAAGGCGACGCAGTACGTGAGAGCGCAGTCTCACCAGTACCTGAGAGCGCAGACGCACTGGCACCTAGAGCAGTAGCCTCACAAGCACCTAGCGCAGCAGTACCAATGCCCGGGTCGGGCGGGAAACACCGGTAACAGTCACCCTCCTCACTAATAGTCAAAGCATACATAGCAGCAAGGATAGCATCAAAGTCAAGATCAAAGATCGCTACACCAGCCCTAAGAAGCTCATCCCAGCGGGGGATCTCACTAGCCTCGGGGAACTGCTGACGCCAAGCGTCCGTCAGGCGGCCAAAGCAGCGCTGGGTGGGGTGGGCACCCCCACACTGCTCACCCGCGCGGTCGCCGGAACGAAGGATGTAGGTACACGGACCAGCACCCGCACCCCTCTGACGCCGAGCGTACCACTCACGGAGCTGCTGGGGCGGAGGGATGTCCCGCGAACGCTGCTGCTGCTGCTGCTGCGGGTGCTGACCACCACCACCGCCGCTCCGCTGCTGGGTACCACCCTGACCAGCTCCACCCCCTCCGCCACCACCGCCTCCTCCTCCGCCCCCTCCACCGCCTCCACCGCCACCGCTGCCGCCACCACCACCGCTGCCGCCATCTCCGCCGCCTCCGCCGCCGCTGCCACCACTACCACCACCACCCCCTCCACCACTCCCGCCGCCACCCCCACTCCCTCCGCCGCCTCCACCGCCACCTCCACCGCCCCCTCCAGCTCCACCCGCGCCCTTGCCCCCCTTGCCCTTGCCAGAGCGGCGTCGCCCACTAGGGGCAGACGCCGCGCCGACCGACTCAAGACCAAGCAGGTCGGCAGCAGCAGCAGAGGCAACAGAGGGCAGTAGGGGGGAAGGAGAGCACCCCTCAAAGATGGGGGTGCGAGGGTCACCCCGAGAAGCTCCTACAGCGACGATGCTCATCTCCGCCGCGAGGAGGGCCTTCTCGAGGAGGTCGACAGTGAGGGTGGTGGGACAGACTGCGAGAAAGTGGTCCCTGACTACGCGAAGAGAGTCAGGGAGGCGCGCGACTACGTAGTAGAGAGTGATGTACATGGGGGGGGGGTTCTTAGCGCAGAACTCAGCAGGAAGGGCGGCGCGGTAGCGAGTGTCACTAGTGCGGAGGTGCGTAATGAGGTCAGCGACAGTGGGAAAGGCAGAGAGGTCAGGAAAGAGGTAGGGAAGAATGAGACGGCTCAGTGCAGCAGTGGCAGGGGAAGAGTAGCGCGCAACTACAGCGTCGTACAAGGTCTGAGCACTCTTGTACTGACTAAAGTGCGCGCGCTCAGAGGTAGGGAGGTGGCGACGCACAGCAAGACGTGCAGCAGCATCGCGGGTAGCCCACTGAGAGCGCACAGTGGGATCAGCATTAGCAGCAGGGGCAGGAGAGGCGCCAGAGGTGAGGTCAAAGAGAGAAAGGCCGTCTGCTCTATCGCACTGCAAGAACAGCTGCAAGTCGTCGACCCAGACCTCAAAGTCAATGGCGCGACCCTCAGCGTCAAAAGCGAGGACACTAGGGGTAGCCATGACAGCAGTAGACGGTCTCACCAGACAGGACGGGTCGGGCAGCGCAGTAGCACAGCAGCACAGCAACACAGCAGCTCAACCGGCTCAGCAGCAACAGCAGCCTCGCAGGACCAGCGGCTCGGTTCCTTAGGCGGTGCAGGCGGCTCGGGCGGCTCGGGCGGCTCGGGCGGCTCGGGCGGCGCGGGCGGCTCGGGCGGCTCGAGCAGTCAGCGACACAGGCGGCTCGGGCGGCTCGGCTCCTCAGCTGCAGAGACGGTGCGGGCGGCTCAGGTCGCACGGCGGCTGGCGGGCGGTGCGGGGGGCCGGGACAGCGTCGTGCAGTAGGGACGGGAGAGCGCGGCCGGGACGGGCGGCACAGGGCGGCTCGGGACCGGGTCGGGCGGCGCGCGGGCGGTGAGGGGCCGGGACGGGCGCGCGTGGGTGGCTAGAGGCCGGGACGGGCGGCGCGCAGGTGGCGAGGGGCCGTGATGAGCGGCGCGCGGGCGGCCGTGGGCCTGAACGGGCGGCGCGTGCGCGTCTAGGAGCCCTGACGGGCGGCGCGCGGGCGGCTAGGGGCCTGAACGGGCGGCGCGCGGGCGGCTAGGGGCCTGAACGGGCGGCGCGCTGGCGGCTAGGGGCCTGAACGGGCGGGCGCGCTGGCGGCTAGAGGCCTGAACGGGCGGCGCGCTGGCGGCTAGGGGCCGAAACGGGCGGGCGCGCTGGCGGCTAGGAGCCCTGACGGGCGGCGCGCGGGCGGCTAGGGGCCTGAACGGGCGGCGCGCGGGCGGCTAGGGGCCTGAACGGGCGGCGCGCTGGCGGCTAGGGGCCTGAACGGGCGGGCGCGCTGGCGGCTAGAGGCCTAAACGGGCGGGCGCGCTGGCGGCTAGGAGCCCTGACGGGCGGCGCGTGGGCGGCTAAGGGCCGGGACGGGCGGCGCGCGGGCGGCTAGGTGCCTGAACGGGCGGGCGCGGGCGGCTAGGTGCCGAGACGGGCGGTGCGCGGGCGGCAAAGGGCGGCTCGCGCGGGCGTCTAGGGGGGCCGCAGGGCAGGCCAAAAAGGAGAGAGCAAGGGCCCGGAGCGCGCTCCGAGCAGAAAAAAAGTTTTGAAGGTGGTGGGCCCTAAGCATAGTTCCCGCGGGGGAACCTGCTCGATACCATGTTGAGAATAGAACGAGAATGAAGTGAGTACAAATAGGAAACCCTAACTGGGTTGTACCCCCTATGGGATACCCCACTACAGCCTACACAATAGTATAAGCTATATATATGTTCTGACAGAGAGAGAGGGGTCGACGAGAATGAGAACGGTAAGAGATGGGGTATAGCGAGAGCGATTGACCGTACAATGGGAGATCGCGGGCAACGGAAAATGGAGTAGATCACCTAGGCGACTGCAAATGGGGGATCGCTACGAGATGGGAGATAGCGACGGCGCGAGACGTGCTTGCTAGCTTAACTTATGTCGCGAGACGTGATCGGAGGGGAGGCCATGAGCGCGAAGGCGATGCGAAGACAGGTGCACGTGAGCGCGATGGTGACGGGAGGGAGGAACGTGAGCGCGATGCCGATGGGAGGGGAGGACGTGAGTGATAGGAGATGAAGTGGGGTAGGAGAAAGGCGACGGGAGGGAGAGCGCGAAGGCGATGGGAGGGGGAGCGGACAGGCGACGGGATAGAGAGCGGACATGCGACGAGAGGGAGAGCGCGAAGGCGAAGGGAGAGAGGGCGGACAGGCGACGGGGGGGTGAGCGCGAAGGCGACGGGAGGGAGAGCGCGAAGGCAAGGGGAGGGGGAGCGGACAGACGACGGGAGGGAGAGCGCGAAGGCGAAGGGAGGGAGAGCGCGAAGGCGATGGGAGGGAGAGCGGACAGGCGACGGGAGGGAGAGCGCGAAGGCGATGGGAGGGAGAGCGCGAGGCCGACGGGAGGGAGAGCGCGAAGGCGAGGGGAGGGGGAGCGGACAGTCGACGAGAGGGAGAGCGCGAAGGCGAAGGGAGGGAGAGCGCGAAGGCGATGGGAGGGAGAGCGGACAGGCGACAGGAGGGAGAGCGCGAAGGCGATGGGAGGGAGAGCGCAAGGCCGACGGGAGGGAGAGCGCGAAGGCGAGGGGAGGGGGAGCGGACAGGCGACGGGAGGGAGAGCGCGAAGGCGACAGGAGGGAGAGCGGACAGGCGACTGGAGGGGGAAGGGATATCGCGAGGGCGACGAAAGGAAAAGGGGGACATCGAAGGCAACGTGGGGAAGGCAGATAGTGAGGGCGACGGGAAGGAAGAGGGGACATCGAAGGCGAGGGGCGGGAGAACGGGAAGGCGACGGGATCGGAGGGAAATCGCGAGGGCGAGGGGACAAGAGGGGTGAATGGGAAATTAACGGACCGGGAGGGGAGACCGTGACGACGACAGGAGGGCCGTCACGCGTGTGTTTGCGAGGGCAACGGAAAGGCGACGGGACGGACTAGAGAACGAGGCGACGGTGGACCCCACTAGCAATGGCGAGTGCGATGAGCAACGAGGGGAGATAAACGAGGCAACAGGCAACGAACCTAAAGTTCACACTCTTGCTAAGTCGACAATTGACGCACTCGTCGGTAATTACGTGGCTATGACGCAAACGCCTGTGCTTTCAGCTATACTACTTACTATGCTATACGGAAACTAGTGATGAATGGAGTGACAGAAATCTAGTAATGCACCCCCCATGTTATGAATGAACTTGCAGAGTGCGCAGTAAAACGAATAACGAGAATGACTGAGTACTGAATTATTGAATGACGATACAATGGAAGTGATGAGGCCTAAATAGGAGAAGTCCTAGCTAGGCGGAGAGGTTGGGCGAGGATGGCTCGGTGATGGTTGCGATTGGTGCGGAGGCGATTCGGGAGTGGTTCGGTGCGACGAAATAGGAAGGATAGGTTCGTCGCGTGACCCTCGGGATGTCCTCGCTAACGAGTGCCCCAGTAAGGATTCTGTAAATCCTTACACTCTCCCACCTTCTAAATAAGGCAGTCCTGTACTGAAAACGGACCCCACACTAGCAAGAATGTCGTAGATCTCCCTTCAGCTGAATCCGACGGCCGAAAAGCCTTCGATAATATTTTTGAAAAGGTTGGAAGGTAGGCCGTCGATGTAGTCCGATTTAGATCTGACGTTCGACGAGGAACTAGCCCAAAATGAAGTTGAAGTTGGAATGTGGGCCGTTGATGAAGAAGATTTGGATCTGACGGTCGAAGACTGACGCGAGATTGGAGGGAACCTGCTGACGCGAAATTCAATCGCGATGTTGCAGAAACCGTCGATCGTGAAGCAGCGATCGCAGTCGTCTGTCGTGCTGCTGCATTCTGACAAAGTCAGATATTGTGCCGAGAAAACGCCGAGGAAAGAAATAGTGCAAAGCACTTCAACCCCCCCCCCCCCCCCCCCCCCCCCCTTTTCAAGAAATGCTCAACAGAAAAGTTTCGCAGCTGCGCCGAGATGAAAACCAACAAAACCAGGAGTTAAGTCCCACTGAGAAGACTGGTGAGCGTAGAAACCCAGGTGAAATTTGCGTCGGTGTGGAAACTCGATGACGAATCCCAGGTGTTACGTGCCCAAAATTTCTTCAAGGAAAAACCCGAAGATGTAAACCGGAAAATGAAACTAATATTATCGAATACTCGAACTGAACCGTTTTGTCTTCACGTCGCCAGAATCAGCCGATATCTTCAGCAGTTGCAGCTGGCAGCTCCTGACGTGGTTGAGAATTAATGCAGTTGTCGTGGGCGGGTCGAAGGCGAGTTGTCGGTAGCAGAGTTGGAAATGGTTTCTCCGAGAGTTTTGTCGTAATGCGTCGATGATTCTTGGGCAGGGATGAAATTTCACAGCTGTCGCTCCCCCCCTTCACTGCTGCTGCCGCCTTCTTCAGTTCATCGTAAGTCCTTCGTACCCCTGAAAAAGTCCGTGTAAATCTCGCGGTGATGCCCCCCTCCGTTTGACGCGCGCGTTTAACCAAACGCCGCAACTCCTCCGAAATTGTCGGCACACCTTGCCGTAAAACCGGGAAGTCCCCACGTAAACACTCCGAAATTGTTGCTCGAATCAAGCCCCGTAAATCCGCAGTTGCAGTTGCAGTTCGCCTCCAAAAACCTCGGACGTGCTATAGCCGCCCACTCGGTCACCATCAGTTTCCGTCGGTTACCCGACCCCAGCATGTGGGTTCAATCGAGAACCGGGGACTGCCCTGGGTTATTCCGAGACCGAATTTCACGGAACCTAGAGGCATCAACGCCGTTGACTCCGTAGTCGAAACTGCTCCCGCAGATGCTGTTTAACAAAAACCCACGCTTCTCCCACCAGCGCTTTGCAGATGTTTCACCGCATCGCTCGTCGCCGGTCGATAAGTTCCTGAAGCTACGACTGCTTCCACGCTCCCTTATTTCTGAAGAATTTCCCGAGGTGTGCGTTTAAACACCGGGGGTCCTAGGCATCCTTGCCGCTGTGTTTCTTGCCAGGCAGCTTCAAAAAGTGCCCTTCAGGCGAAGTCCCCCAACGACTCAACCGCACTCCAAGGAGCGAAGAAATACCCGCAGCTTCATAATTTTTTGGTCGTTACACCCCCCGACAATTCCGCTTCCAGCTGTTCACCCAGCGTCCGCTTTTGTCGGATGGGGTATAGTCGGTGTTGCCCGCACGAACCCAGCCACGGTGGAGAAGAAAAGTCCATCGGAGTCGGGGTAGCCTTAGTTAAAAGGAAATCATTCCCAACCGCTTTGCAGCCCACCGTGTCGTCGCGCCACTAAAACTCCACAGCTCCCGGTTCCAGCTCCGCCGCTGCGCCGTCACCTCGTGTAGATGCCCGGGTCAGGAGAAACCAGCGAACTGCACCATTGTTGACATGCGGCGCCCCGATTTGTTTGCGTGCTGTTTCACCCAGTCCGCTTTTGTCGGAGTAGAACAGTGCCGCAACTCCACCTTTTTTTGTTTTTTCTGTACAGCTGTTGAACGAGCACCAATCCAGGTACCTTTAACCAGCACAGGGTAGGCCCGTGTTCACCCCTGTAACTCGGCCTAGCAAGTTGACTGCATGAGTCAGAACTAGAAACTTGGTGGGGATGGTGAGGTTCGGGCGACGGAAGGTCACAGATCATTCACACCGGCTTTTAACCTGCCCTTAACGCCGTTCTTCAACCCCCGCTTAACCGTCGGGCAGTTTCTTCTCGTGTGTCCCGGCGGCCTGTACCGCTCTCCTCCGTAACTGTCGGCGTGGTACCTTGAACACCGTTTAATCGTGGGCTGTTGAGGCTGTCCCCGAAAATGACTTCCTTACAGGGAATCCATTATCGAAATTGCCAGCCAGCAGTCAGCAGTACCAGGCACGTAGCGTCATCCGATTGCTCTTCGGGGTGTATGGGCCCGAATTGCCTTCGCCGCCTGCGTCCCACTCCTCCTGAGTGCGATTTAGCCACTCCGTTTTCTGTTGCAACCCGTAAGTGTTGGCGGGTCTGAAGTTCCCGTCTGCCCACGTGCACTTTTGCCGAAATACTGGATGACGCGCCCGCCATGCAGTAAAAGCCGCTGCACTTCAGGTCGGGCGGGACGACAGTTGACCCCGCACAATTCGGGCAATTCGCGTGTCATCTCTCCTCGTCCACCGATATTTTCGGACGCAAACTCCATTTGCGCCTAGCGAGTTCCCCAGCCGAATTTTTCTTCAACAGAAGCTCCGAAAATGTCGCCCTTGCTGACGCAGGCCCTTTGTTGCCAGCTGCCGAAGATCTTTCCGAAATCTTCGCGTAACTGCTGACTCAGGTCCGCCGGCGTCAACAGCCACACACCGTCACGACGTCGAGGTTGTTCATGCAGATGCCGACGCAGGTCCGCTGACGCCAGCTGCCACACGAATCAAGCTCCGAAATCGTCAGAAATTGCAGCGGAAATTACTCACTTTAATGTCGCGACAGCTTCAACTGTCCGTTGCCCGGGGGGAGGGAGGCCACGGTCGATCGCGACCGTTCGAGGCAAGGATCTGACGGTGCCGAAGGAGTACCCGTAAAACCATGGCCGCGAGGAGCAACTAACTTGTTCTCCTGGCCGGCCTACGCAACTCCTGGACCCCAAGACATCCTTCCTCATCCCCCCCCCCCCCCCCCCCCGAGGGATATTACACTCTAAAAAGCGAGGTAGGCTAGGAAAGTAGCTCTGATACCAGGTGTTATAAATGAACTTGCAGAGTGCGCAGTAAAACGAATAACGAGAATGACTGAGTACTGAATTACTGAATAACGATACAATGGAAGTGACGAAGCCTAAATAGGGGAAGTCCTAGCTAGGCGGAGAGGTTGGGCGAGGATGGCTCGGTGATGGTTGTGATTGGTGCGGAGGCGACTCGGGAGTGGTTCGTGTCAGAACATTATATAGCTTATGCTGTTGTGTAGGCTATAGTGGGGTATCCCATAGGGGGTACAACCCAATTAGGGTTTGCTATTTGTACTCACTTCACTCATAGTTCATCCATTCTCGTTCAAACTTTCTCATGGTATCGAGCAGGTTCCCCTGTGGGAACTGCACCTAGGGCCCACCGCTAGTTCGATTTTTTTTTTTACTGCCCGGAGGCGCCCATCCCGAGTCGCGCCTCGGGCCCTCCCTCCCCTAGCGGCCCAGCCGCCCTCACATCGCGGCCCCGTCGCCCCTGATCACGCGGCCCCGCCGCCCCTGCTGTCGCGGCCCCGCGGCCCCTGCTCGCGCGGCCCCGTCGCCCCTGCTGTCGCGGCCCCGCGGCCCCTGCTCCCGCGGCCCCGCCACCCCTGCTGTCGCGGCCCCGTGGCCCCTGCTCGCGCGGCCCCGTCGCCCCTGCTGTCGCGGCCCCGCGGCCCCTGCTCAAGCGGCCCCGTCGCCCCTGATCACGCGGCCCCGCCGCCCCTGCTGTCGCGGCCCCGCGGCCCCTGCTCGCGCGGCCCCGTCGCCCCTGCTGTCGCGGCCCCGCGGCCCCTACTCCCGCGGTCCCGCCGCCCCTGCTGTCGCGGCCCCGCGGCCTCTGCTCTCGCAGCCCTGCCGCCCCTGCTTTCGCGGCCCCGTGGCCTCTGCTTTCGCGGCCCTCGCCGCCCCTGCTTTCGCGGCCCTCGCCGCCCCTTCTCTCGCGGCCCCGCCGCCACCTACTCTCGCGGCCCTGCCGCCCCTGCTCCAGCGGCCCCGCTGCCCCTGATCTCGCGGCCCCGCCGCCCCAGCGCCTACGGCCCCGCCGCCCCTGATCTCGTAGCCCCGCCGCCCCAGCGTTCACGGCCCCGCCGTCCCTGCTCTCGCGGCCCCGCCACCCCAGCACTGCAGCAGCTGAGCCGCCCCGTTGCCGAGCCGCCCAGCAGCAGCCGAGCCGCCCAGCAGCAGCCGAGCCGCCTGGGAGCTGCCGAGCCGCCCCGCAGCCGCCGAGCCGCCCAGGAGCTGCCGAGCCGCCCCACAGCAGCCGAGCCGCCCACAAACCGGACCGCCCGACCTGCCCTTTTCTGGTGAGCCCGGCACTGCCCCACTGCTACTGCGTGCCCTTCCCCACTGCTTGCACTGCTAGTCTGTCGCTATGGCTACCCCTAGTGTCCTCGCTTTTGACTCTGAGGGTCGAGCCATAGACTTTGAGGTCTGGGTCGACGACCTCCAGCTGTTCTTACAGTGCGATAGGGCAGACGGTCTTTCTCTCTTTGACCTCACCTCTGGCGCCTCGCCTGCCCCTGCTGCTGATGCTGACCCCACTGTTCGCTCTCAGTGGGCCACCCGCGATGCTGCTGCACGTCTTGCTGTGCGTCGCCACCTCCCTACCACTGAGCGCGCGCACTTTAGCCAGTACAAGAGTGCTCAGACCTTGTACGACGCTGTAGTTGCGCGCTACTCTTCCCCTGCCACTGCTGCACTGAGCCGTCTCATGCTTCCGTACCTCTTTCCTGACCTCACTGCCTTTCCCACTGTCGCTGACCTCATTACGCACCTCCGCACTAGTGACACCCGCTACCGCGCCGCCCTTCCTGCTGAGTTCTGCGCCAAGAACCCCCCCCCCATGTACATCACTCTCTACTACGTTGTCGCTCGCCTCCCTGACTCTCTTCGCGTAGTCAGGGACCACTTTCTCTCAGTCTGTCCCACCACCCTCACTGTCGACCTCCTCGAGAAGGCCCTCCTAGCGGCGGAGAAGAGCATCGTCGCTGTAGGAGCTTCTCGGGGTGACCCTCGCACTCCCATCTTTGAGGGGTGCTCTCCTTCCCCCCTGCTGCCCTCTGTTGCCTCTGCTGCTGCTGCCGACCTGCTTGGTCTTGAGTCGGTCGGCGCGGCGTCTGCCCCTAGTGGGAGACGCCGCTCTGGCAAGGGCAAGGGGGGCAAGGGCGCGGGTGGAGCTGGAGGGGGCGGTGGAGGTGGCGGTGGAGGCGGCGGAGGGAGTGGGGGTGGCGGCGGGAGTGGTGGCGGCGGCGGTGGTGGTGGTGGCAGCGGCGGAGGAGGCGGCGGTGGTGGCGGTAGCGGTGGAGGTGGAGGCGGCGGAGGAGGCGGAGGAGGAGGCGGTGGTGGCGGAGGGGGTGGAGCTGGTCGGGGTGGTACCCCGCAGCGGAGCGGCTCTGGGAGTGGTCAGCGCCAGCAGCAGCAGCAGCAGCGTTCGCGGGACATCCCTCCGCCCCAGCAGCTCCATGAGTGGTACACGCAGCGTCAGCGGGGTGGGGGTACTGGTCCGTGCACCTACGTCCTTCGTTCCGGCGACCGCGCGGGTGAGCAGTGTGGGGGTGCCCACCCCACCCAGCGCTGCTTTGGCCGCCTGACGGACGCTTGGCGTCAGCAGTTCCCCGAGGCTAGTGAGATCCCCCGCTGGGGAGAGCTGTCTAGGGCTGGTGTAGCTATCTTTGATCTTGACTTTGATGCTATCCTTGCTGCTATGTATGCTGTGACTATTAGTGAGGAGGGTGACTGTTACCGGTGTTTCCCGCCCGACCCGGGCATTGGTACTGCTGCGCTCGGTGCTTGTGACACTGCTGCTCTAGGTGCCAGTGCGTCTGCGCTCTCGGGTACTGGTGAGGCTGCGCTCTCAGGTACTGGTGAGGCTGCGCTCTCAGGTACTGCGTCGGCTTCGGCCTCCCTCACTTTCACACTTGACTCCGGAGCTTCTCGCTCCTTCTTTCGAGACCGCACCACACTCACGCCGCTTGGTTGGCCGGTTGCAGTCTCCCTGGCTGACCCCTCTGGGGGT